AAAGTTTTAACCTCTAAGGGAGAGCAGGCAAAGTTGCTAAAATATTTCTTAAGTAAAGCTGAATTTTTCAGCAGCGGAATTTTAAAAAACAAAAAGCAATGAAATTTTGAAAGACGAAAAGCCCTCTAGCAGCCTGCATTTTAAATGGGCTGTGGGTGAGGTGGCATTTGTGCCTCATGGATCAAATATATAAATTTGCTTACTTTGCTTTTTTAATAAAGATACTTACTTTAATTACTTAATAAATTAGCTTTTTAAAATATAATCAGGGTCTCATATAAATTAAGTTATATGAGAAGCCAATATTTTTATAAGCAATTGGACTCTAATAAATTCCTCTGAAAGTTACTAAGACCTCCCATAATCCCTCTCTATATACAAATGAGCCAAAAAGTATGCTATGTTAAAGTAAATTTTAAGGTTAATAAAAAAAAAAGAAATTTAAAAATTTTGAAATCTCTTCTGCTAATATTTACAAGATAAACTGAAGGCTATTATTCAAACATTAAACCTAATTAATAGTAATCACCATAACTACAAAGAGAGTCACTTAAATATAGACATAAGGGTATAGGTCAGCATCTCAAAAGCAATCATGATTGTTATGTTTGTTGCTTGGTGTAGAACAGTGGTGGGCAAACCTCGGCTCTCGAGCCACATACGGCTCTTTGGCCCCTTGAGTGTGGCTCTTCCTCAAAATACCACGTGCAGGCGCGCACGTACAGTGCGATTGAAACTTGGTGGCCCATGCGCAGAAGTCAGTTTTTGGCCTGGGCGAGTCTATTTTGAAGAAGTGGCGTTATAAGAAGTGGGGGGTGTCTGTCGGTCGGTCATGCGACGGGAGACACGGCGTGCCGCAGGGCGCAGGTGTGCCACGGGATACGCAGAGCTGGGGAGGTACATTATTTTTGGGGTACGTTAGCTGAGGTCGACCCCTTACAACTCTCCTGTCCACACTCATCTATCTGAAACAAGTATACCAGACGAGTGTGGATAGGAGAGTTGGAAGGGGTCAACCTCAGCGAACATACCTCAATCAGATTGAAGATGTTTTTAGCAAAGTCCAGCTTAGGAGTACCCTAATTAAGTTAATAACAATGTACCTACCTTTATAGTTTAAGTTTAAAAAATTTGGCTCTCAAAAAAAATTTCAATCGTTGTACTGTTGATATTTGGCTCTGTTGACTAATGAGTTTGCCCACCACTGGTGTAGAAGAAAGAAAAAGTTTTTTAAAAGAAACTCTCTAAAGGTGGCCTAGAAATTACTCTGGAAGGAAATAAAGAGAGGTTTCCTTCAAATATCTGGAAAACTGTAATTTAAAAAGTTAATATATTAGGTTTCAAAAAGAAAAGTAATTTGTGTTTTTGCCTCCTTAAACAAACCTTAGGTAGGTATACTCAAAGACTGATAGCAGAAATTCAATTCGTATCATTTACTGTCCACAACCAAGGACAAGTAAAATTAAAAAATAAACCTTATTTCAGACTAATTTAAATTGGCAAATTGACATAAGTGAATATTCAAGGGAACTTAGTTGTACTAGGCAGGAACCTATTCCTGGAGCATTAACTAATTTTTTGCTGATGATTCATCTCATAGTAAAAGCTGCTTAACATGCAATGAATCCAAAGCAGTCATATTTCTGTGCAGAAAATTAAAAGTTATCAAGACTGCATTGCAAAATTTCCAAAAGCCTCTTAAATTTATTTAAATCAAAAAAGGGGGGATAGTGGACAAATATCCTGTAAGTAAATTACATCAAGCCTTAATTACTTAAAATGTTTACTTTAAAATTTTTTCACTTGTAATGCTGATGGCAAGACACCCATGAAATTACACATGTTGTCAGAATAAGCCAAAGGAAAATGGTTTGGGCAAAAAAAAAAAGATCCCAAGTCTAGTTTATAGAAAGATTTCTTTATTAACCTTTGGTCGAGAATATGCTTATATATTTCCAGAAAACTCCAAGCCTGCTGTGTGGATTCCTGCAACAATGGATCCAAGAGAGGAACTAACCAGACTACTCCAGCCACAGATGGCAGTGGCCCCAACCAACACACTGATGAGAAAAAGGAGAAACAGTCCAGAGATGGAGGATGGTGAAGACGCCTTGCCATGCTAGCAGTGTGCGTCACTGCAGGTTGCCCAGGACCAAGCCACAGAAGGTCGGACCTGCATTGCCACCATGTGTCCACCATCCAGAACTGGAATATCATTGCTGTCATGTCACAGGGGATAGTAATGGAAAGAAGACTCAAAGAACTCTGAGCCCAGAAAGGAGCTTACCGCAGACTGATTCCTTTGATGCCTGGCAACAATTTAAAGGGACATAATAGAACTCTATCCTTTCCATTGAATTTAAAAATCTAATAAGGACTCGAGCTCTGCAAATGACATACATTCTTATTAAATTTATTAAAACAAAAAAGGGGGATATGCTGGGGGCTAATTACAACAGGTCATAAATGCAAGAAGTTCATCAAAATGTTGGTGGACCTTGAGGCTTCAGCAGGGCTCAAGCTACATATAGTACCTGCTGCTGGAATAGCTGAAAGCGTTTCCCCAAACCTAAAGATTTGCATATATTATTGTCTGCTGCCTGACAGCCAAGGCAGTTCCCCCAACCTGACAATGCCTACTGTATACCAAACCTTACCTTTGATATGTATATCTGCTTTGCTTTAGGGCAATTTGTGTTAGTAAAAAGCTAGGGGTCCAGAGATTTAGAGAATTTGGTTACTGAAGCTAGGTCTCCTCTGGCTCCCCCAAATGCCTTCCAAATGTATAGTTCATGTCTAGTCTCTTTATTAATTTACTCACAGCCATTCTCCAGATTCCTGAACCCTTCTAGATGCTGAGAAACACCCCAGCAGGACTATATCACAATAAAAAGCTTCTTCAGAGCAAAAGAAACCATCAACAAAATAATAAGAGAGCCCACTGCATGGGAGAACATATTTTCCAATGTTACATCTGATAAGGATTTAATCTCCAAATTTTATAAGGAACTCATACAACTGAACAAAAGGAAGACAAACAATCCAATAAAAAAAAATGGGCAAAGGACTTAAATAGACACTCTTGAAAGCAGACAAACAGAAGGCAAAGAGGCATATGAAAAAATGCTCAAAATCACTAATCATCTGAGAGATGCAAATAAAAATGACATTGAGGTACAATCTCACACCTGCCAGAATGTTTATCATCAACAAATCAACAAACTACAAGTGCTGGCGATGAAGTGGCGAAAAGGGAACCCTCGTGCACTGCTGGTGGGAATGCAGACTGGTGCAGCCACTGTGAAACCAGTATGATGTTTCCTCAAAAAATTAAAAATGGAACTTCCATTTGACCCAGTGATCCCACTTCTAGGAATATATCCCAAGAAATCAGAAACATCAATCAGAAAGGACATATGCACCCTTATATTCGTAGCAGCACAATTTACAATAGCTAAGATCTCAAACAGCCTAAGTGCCCTTCATCAGATGAGTGGATAAAAAAAAAAAGTGGTACATCTATACAATGGAATACTATGCAGCTGTACAAAAGAAATTACTCTTGCCATTTGCAACATCATGGATGGACCTGGAGAGCATTATGCTAGGCGAAATAAGCCAGTCGGTGAAACATAAGTATAAAATTATCTCACTGATATGTTGAATCTAATGAACAACATAAACTGATGAACAAAAATAGACCCAGAGGCATAGAAGCATCAAACAGGCTGTCACACCTCAGAGGGAAGGCAGGGGAGGATGGGCGAAGGGTAGGGGTGGGAGGGTAAGAGATCAACCAAAGAACTTGTATGCATATAAGCATAACCCATGAACACAGACAATAGGAGTGTGAAGGCATGGGTGGCAGGGGTTGGGGTTTTTTTGGTGGGCTGGGAGAGGCTAATGGGAGAAAAAGGGGACATATGTAATACTTTCAACAATAAAGAATTTTCTTAAAAAAAGAAGTGTGGATAAAAAAAAGTGGTACATCTATACAATGGAATACTATGCAGCTGTACAAAAGAAATTACTAATTAGCAGGTACAGAATAGTCATGGGGATGTAAAGTTCAGCATAAGAATTGTAGTCAATAATATTATAATAACTATTTATGGTGTTAGGTACTAGATTTATTGGGATGATCACTTTGTAAATTATATAAATGTCTAATCACTGGGTTCTGCACCTGAAACTATACTGTATCTCAACTCAATTTGAAAAATATATATATATTAAAAAAACAACAACAATGGCCCCAAAGTGCAAGAGTATTGAGGGTGGCAATTCAGACATGCCAAAGAGAAGCAGGAAAAGGTGAATTCAGTACAATAAGGTATTTCAGATATAGAGACCACATTACTTAACTTTTAATATAATATATTGTTACAATTGTTATATTTTATTATTAGTTATTGATGTTAATCTCTTACTGTGCCTAATTTATAAATTAAACTTTATCATAGGTATGTATTTATAGGAAAAGAAAACATAGTCTATAAAGGTGTCCTGTGTTCACATATAGTTAAGTACTATCCATGGTTTCAGGCATCCATGGGAGTCTTGGAATGTATCCCCTATGGATAAGGGAGGACTACATTATACACCAACATAGCAATAGTGTTTAACTCTATGAAGTAAACTCATTCATGATGTTTTCCACCCTTTAATGTCTAGTATTTTCCAATGTTATTTAATAAACATGTTTTGCTTTAGTAAAAAAATAATCTACACTAATAAAAGAGAAACATGGTAATTAGCGTATGACCGCTACCCTTCCCATTGGCTAATCAGCATATCCTTATGCAAATTAACTGTCAGCCAAGATGGCGGCCGGCAGCCATGCACTGAAGCGAACAGGAAGGCTTGCTTGCTCCAGTGACTGCTGACTCCAACGTTCCCCGCCTAACTTGCCGGCCTCTCAGCTGCAACTCTAAGCAACTATGTACCATGTTGCAAATAAGAAGCTAAACAAAACCCCAGAAACCAGCTTTCAGCCTGCCGGGATCTCAGAGCTGAAGTTATACATTGTTTCGATTATAGAACAGCAAACAAACCAGATACCAGCTTTCAGCAGCGGAAGCCTCACAGCTAGAGCCAGAGCTAAAGCTGGCCCAGAATAAAATAAAAAAAAGAGAAAAAAAAGGAGCAGTTGGGAGCTTCAGTCAACAACCGCCAGCCTGAAAG